TTTCCAATTAACCAGCAAAAATCTAGAAGTAGAGCTGTGTCTCTAGTGGTAAAGCACCAGCTTTGAGCAAAAAAGCTCAGGGATAGCACCTCAGGTCCTGAGTTCAAGCCTCATAGCCAGTACAATAAAATAAAATAAAATAAAAATTCAGATCACTGGGCCTCACCCCAAGAGGTGATGATTTTCACTGCTACAAGGCATTCTTTTAAAAAGATCTCTTTCTGGGCACAGGTGGCTCATGCTTGTAATCCTAGCTACTCAGGAGGCTGAGATCTGAGGCTCGTGGTTCAAAGCCAGCCAGGGCAGGAAAAGTCGTGAAACTCTCATCTCCAATAAACCACCAGAAAACCAGAAGTGGCCCTGGGGCTCAAGTGGTAGTGGAGCACTAGCCTTGAGCTGAAGAGCTAAGGGACAGCTCTCAGGCCCAGAGTTCAAGCCCCATGACCGACAAAAAAAAATAATAATATATATATATATAGATAGATAGATAGATATCTATATCTATCTATATCTATATATATATATATATCTGTTGGGCTGGAAAGGTGGCTCAGTGGTAGAGACCTTGCCTTGCATGCATGAGGCCCTGTGTTCAATTCCTCAGCACCACATAAGCAGAAAAAGCCAGAAGTGGTGCTGTGGCTCAAGTGGTAGTGTGCTAGCCTTGAGCTGAAGAGCTGAGAGACAGCACCCAAACCCAGAGTTCAGGCCCCAAAACTGACCAAAAAAAGAAAGAAAAAAAAAGATCTATTGATGGCTCTAACTTGCAGTACTGGGATGTTTCATTTGAACACACACACACACACGCACACACACACACACACCAGTAGTTAAAACCTAGTGAGTCAGGCAAAATGACTCCTAGGGGATTTATGAAGCTCCACAATCCTGACAATAAACGACCTTTGCATACTCCATTTCTTGCCTAGCAGATGACTTGACAGAAAGAATGAAATGGAACCCATCATTGAGCAGCTTTCTCATGGCCTTGCCAGCTGACAAACTGCTGTGTCTCAGGGCCTCCTGTGAGGGGGAGTGGCCTCTCCCAGCTCACCAATAGTGTAGCTGCTGGCTGTACATGGCTATGGATCACTTGAACCGTAACAGTACTGAATTTGAAATCTTATTTAGTTTTCATTCATTTTTTTAAATTGCCACATGTGGTCACAGTACTAGAAAACCCAAAAAGTGTCACCATCCCTAGAGAGTCCTAGAAATAAGGTTTTACCTCTTCTAAGTTATACAGAATAAACTTTATGGAAAATATATATCTGAAAACATGTAAATCCAATAGTCTTTAGGTTATCAAGTAGGATCCTAGCAGTTTCCAATAAAGTCACAATTTAAGAGAAATTTTCAATGTGCAGAACCAGTTTCCTTGCATATTACAGGCACTTAGCTTGAAGGGGACATCACTGCCCTATTTTTAGAACACATCACTGTGTCTAATTGACCTAGTCACAAAAATAACCATGAGTTTAGAAAGAATTTCACAGTGGAAGCTGGGCACTGGTGGCTCATGCCTGTAATCCTAGCTACTCAGGAGGCTGAGATCTGAGGATCATAGTTTGAAGCCAGCCTGGGCAGAAAGTCCATGAGACTCTTATCTCCAATAAAAGACCTAAAAGCTGGAAGTAGAGCTATGGCTCAAGTGGTAGAGAGTCCTAGCCTTGAGCAGAAGAAGCTCAAGGACTAAGGCCAGGCCCTTAGTTCAAGCCCCAGGACACACACCCCAACCCACCCCCCACATACAGAGTGGAATTGATTTCTACTCTCAGCTGTTTATCAGACTATGACAACAATACACTCAGGAAAGCCAAAGTTAGGTGAGAATGTTCAAAGAAGTGACACTGATCAAGATACATTATAACTATTTAAAGATAATAAACAAATTCAAAAATACATTCATCTTTACTTTCCTTCCATCCAAATCCAAAAATAACCCGAGTCTTGTCAACACGACAGGTCTGAGCCAACACATGCTGCAAAGCAAGGTCATCTCTAAGGACAGGCTTTTTTTCATATTGTCCAATTTCATAATGACCCCCAATTGCACAAACTGCCTTCCACATTAATTCTCAGCACGCAGATACTCATAGAACTCACAGTTCATACATCACAAAAGCCAGAAAACTGAAAGCTCACATTTGTTATCCTAGCTACTCAGGAAGCTTAGATGTGGGCAAATCCCAGGCCAAACAGGAAAGTCCATGAGGTTCATAACCAACTAACCACCAAAAAGCAGGAAATGGAGCTGTAGCTCAAGTGGTAGAGTGCCAGCTTTGATCAGAAGAGCTAAGGAACAGTGCTCAGGCTCTGTAAATAGACACACACACACACACACACACACACACACACACACACACACAGAGCTAAGGAACAGTGCTCAGGCTCTGTAAATAGACACACACACACACACACACACACACACACACACACACACACACACACACACACACACACACACACACACACACACACACACACACACACACACACACACACACACACACACACACACACACACACACACACACACACACACACACCAGAAAAAAATAAGCCCAATTCTACCCCTAACTGAAAAGGCAAAGGTTAGGAATTTCTGGATGCAAAAGAGATAAAAAAAAAAAAGTTTACCTCAGGTTGGCACAAACTTCCTTGTCCACCACTAAGTAGACAAGGTGAGCCATTTCACAGAGCTCTTCACAAAAGCTGGCACTTAACTGACAGCTTACCATCACATGCTGGGCACTGTGCCTTATGTGTCTCAGGGATACCACTGCCCTCTGAAGCAACTACTCTTACTGAAAGTTGATGTTCTGAGAGGTTAGGTGACTTGCCCAGAGTCACAGAGAAGCAACTGGAAGAGGGAAGTCATACTTTAACTCCTTTGTTAACACTAAACACTAAACACATTGTGCCAGTGTTGGCTCCTAGGCTGAGCCATTCTCCTTGGGATCAGGCTGCAGCCCAGGGAGGAAATCTGAATTTGCAGGGTTCAGAAACATGGGCCTATCCATTTCAAAGGGTACCACTCCCCATCCCCCATCCCATTCCCATTCCCCACCCCCCCCCACCCCCCACCCCCCAGGCTTGACTGAAAGGTGGAAAGAAGGGCCTTGGGGAAAACTTCTAGTCCTGCCAGCTTGGACACACCTAAGAGAACAGCACAGATGCTACCCCCCCCCCCCCCGGGGCATTCCCAGAGGAGGGAGAGCTGAGCCAGGCAGCAGTGGGAAGAAATGTGGGCACCTGCTTGTTTAACAGCCAAAGAGAGCAGGGCGTGAAGAGAAGCCAGGATGCAGGGAAGGATAAGGGTAATCTCCAGATACCCATGCTAAAGGTCCAGAGAAGCACGGGAAGCCCAAGAAGTACTACCCTCAGAATCCTTCTCCATCCCAGCCCTAGTGCTTTCTAGTTGTGTGACACCCTGTTCCCGCCTCCAAACAAAATTCTGCTTTCTGGGCCTCAGTCTTCTCTAGTAGGGCACTGAAGCCCCCTTACTGGTCTGAGAAACTTTTTTTTTTTTTTGGCTAGTCCTGGCACTTAAACTCGGGGCCTGGGTACTGTCCCTGAGCTTCTTTTGCTAGCACTCTACCACTTGAGCCATAGCACCACTTCTGGCTTTTTCTGTGTATATGGTACTGAGGACTTGAACCTAGGGCTTCGAGCATGCTAGGCAAGCACTCTACCACTAAGCCACATTCCCCGTCCACTGGGAACTAGATTTTATAGCTTTATCTATCTAACTATCTATGGTGCTCAATGTGGAACCCAGAGCATTGCTTAAATCAGGCAACGTGCTCAACCCCTGAACTACACCAGCAGCAGCCACTGGACTTAATTTCAAGAAATCAAGTTAAGCAGGAGCTTAGGTTAGGTTATTTGGTTATAACTTCTGATTTTTATAAAAGTATTGATAAGAATTTTTTTTTTTTTTTTAGTCTGGTCGTGGGGTCTGAACTCTGGGCCTGGGCACTGTCCCTCAGCTCTTCAGCTCAAGGCTAGTGCTCTACCACTTGAGCCACAGCGCCACTTCCGGCTTTTTTCTTTTTGCTTATATGGTGCTGAGGAATCAAACCCAGGGCCTCATGCATGCAAGGCAAGCGCTCTACCACTGAGCCACCTTCCTAGCCCCTTGATAAGAATTTATTAGTTAAGGACTTAAGAGAGCTCTTGCCTGGCAAGTAAGAGGTTCTGGTTTCAAAAAATAAAATAAAATTAGGGCTGGGGTTTGGCTCAAATGGTGGAACACTTGCCTAGCATGCACAGGCCCTGGGTTTCATTTAGAGTAATGGGGAAAAACAATCGTGGCACAGGCATTAACAGTGGTATCCATCTCAGAGAGGCTGTTGAGAAATAAGGCAGGTAATTATTTTAAGTGCCTAAGACAGGGCTAGTACTCAATAGGTACTTATTCTATGTCAGTTCTTTTTAATTATAAGCTATTTTTAACTCCCAGACGGGTGCTGCCGGCCATGAGGGCTTTATAGCTGGTGAAGAGGGGTGCCTTCCATGTAACAAGGTTCACAGTAAAGATCCTCTGGACCCTTCGCCCTATCCCTAGGGCCGACCCCAGCTTGGGGTGCACATCATGCACGTGCTCTGCGCTGCAGCCTGCATTACACAATCCGCATGTAGAGATGCTGGGGTGCCGGATCCCTAGGGTGCTGGCAGCCCAAGGCCCGCAAGAGTGCTCGGACTAGCGTTCTGAAAGGGCCAAGAGCAAGGACGCGGGAGTTGGGACAGGTTGGGGGAGGGGGAGGGTATTCGAGGAAAGAACTCCGGGGGCGGCTACAGACCTGGGGGGCAATTGCGTTGGGGTGTGGGGGGTGACAAGGAAGACGATGGCTTCCGCGAGGGCAAGTGGTGGCCCCTCTTTCCAGGAAGTGGAAGCAACGGCAGGTGCAGGAACAAAACCAGCCAGCCAATGGCAGGGGGCCGGGGGGGGGGGGGGGGAGTGCGGGTGTCAGTCCCTGTGCACTCGGTCCCCGAGCTTAGCTCCGGGAAGTGGAAGGATGGGCTAAGGGGGGGATCTCAAACCACTCCCGGAACCAGAAGGAGGAATGGCAAGGGAGCGCGGGTGCGGGGTGCGGGAGAGGTGTGCGAGGGGTGGGGTGCGGGTGCGGGTGCGGGGGCAGGTAGGGGTGCGGGAGCGGGGTGCGCGTGCGGGGGCAGGTAGGGGTGCGGGGTGCGGGGTACGCGGGCAGGTAGGGGTGACGGGGTGCAGGGTGCGGGTGCGGGGTGCAGGTAGGGGTGACGGGGTGCAGGGTGCGGGTGCGGGGTGCAGGTAGGGGTGCGGGGTACGCGGGCAGGTAGGGGTGCGGGGTGCGGGGTGCGGGGTGCGGGGTGCGCGGGCAGGTAGGGGTGACGGGGTGCGGGGTGCGGGTGCGGGGTGCAGGTAGGGGTGACGGGGTGCGGGTGCGGGGTGCGCGTGCGGGGGCAGGTAGGGGTGACGGGGTGCGGGTGCGGGGTGCGCGTGCGGGGGCAGGTAGGAGTGACGGGGTGCGGGGTGCGGGTGCGGGGTGCGGGTGCGGGGTGCAGGTCCCATCGGCCCGGTGCGGCGCGGGGCGCAGCCTGGAAAGGGGGTGTAGGTCACGGAGTCGGGTACTGCCCCCTCCCCACCCCTGCATCTCACCCCGGTGCTCCCCGCTCTGCTCACCGGGTAACTTCGGTCGCCCGAGTCCGGCCGCCTGACCTCGGTTCCCGGCTCCCTTCTGGGCTCGGTTCCCGGCTCCCTTCTGGGCTCGGTTCCCGGCTCCCTTCTGGGCTCGGCCGCGAGCAGCGCTGGCTTCCGCCGCGGGCTCCTCCTGCGTGGCGGGGATTGGCTCCTTAAAGGTACAGCACGTGGAATCGCATCCTCCGACAGAAAAGATGGCCCGCCCACACAAGGTACTGCGTGTTGGCCACCAACTTGGAGATCTCTTACCTCCAACTCTAAGGCTCTAGGCCAAGAAAGCAAAGTTAATATTCAGCATCGCCTAGCCCTGGCAACCTGTCGCCAACCATACAAGCCAAGGACAGCAGAAGCACTTATCGGGTTTCTAGCAGCAAAATGGAATCAGGGGTGCACAGTGGGGTGGGGTGGGGTGGGGGGAGGGAGGGTGCCTGCAATGTAACCCCTGGAGCTGAGGTTCCTCAGAGAAGCCAAAATGGGGTAGTGTGGATACTGAGTGCCTGCATTGTGTCTGGCACGGTGGGCTTTAAACCCACCAAAGAGACTCAGACAGGATCTCTGCTTGAGAGAGCTCAGTATGAAAGAACTGGATGGATCCTGGGGATGGGTAGCTCATGCCTGTAATCCTAGCTACTCAGAAGACTTATATCTGGGGATTGTTGTTCGAAGCCAGCCCAGACAGAAAAGTCCTTGAGATTCTTACCTCCACTTAACCACCAAAAAGCTGAAAGTGGAGCTGTGGCTCAAAAACGGTAGAACACTAGCCTTGAACTCAACACCCAGACCCTGAGTTCAAGCCGCAGAAAAACACCCCCCCCTCCCCACCAAACACACCAAAAAAAATAGGACAGATGTGAGTTGATGAGTTGTCTCATTTGATCCTCTGAAGTGAACACTGTAGTTGGCTTCCTGTGGAGGTGAGGAACTGCTTAGGGAGCCCTCCTGGAGAACACAGAGCTGGAAATTCCAAGCCAGGATTGCCTGACTGTACAGCTTCTGGGCAGAGGTAGTTTAGCATCTGGAAAGGCCTTTAGCCGTCGCTTTGCTGGTGAAACCTGCAAATGGCCCTTCCTTTCTCATATGAACAAGTAAACCTCACAGTAGTCTGGCCGCACTTTGGACTTTCATGTCTCAATTTAGACATCACTTTCCTAGTAAACCTTCTTTAATTAAGCCTTGGGCTTTTTCACACCATTGTGTGAGGATCTCTGTGCAGTGATGAGCAAAGAGAGACTATGACATTGTGACTTACAGCACACAGGTCTTCCTGTGGAACTGAGGCCTCCGCTTGCTTATTGGCTTCCCCCTATAGGTGTTGGTGGGACCAGCACCAACAAGACTCTCAGCCACTTAAAAATCCACCAGTACCTAGGTATGGTGATTCAAGCCTGGTATCCTAAGCACTCAGGAGACAGAAGTAAGGAGATCCTGGGTTCATTGCCAGCACCCTAGCCATACCTCAAGACACTACATCCAAAATGTATTTTTTAAATCCTTCATAAAGTAGCCTCCTAGACTGTGTCTGCCAATCCCTTCAGGCAGGTCTTGGTTTGCTGGGGGGAGAGGGGAGAGAGTTGTGTGCCAAAACTGGAGTTTGAACTCAGGATGCTTTTTACTGGTTAACTAGAGATAAGAGGCTCTGCCTATGCTGGCTTAGAACTCCAGTCCTCATATGTCAGCCTTCTGAGTAGCTAGGATTACAGGTGTAAGCCACTGGCACCCAGCTAGGTCTTGGGTTTTAAGAATGGGGCATGAACAAGAAGCCCCAGAAATGTGTGGCAACGGGACATCTCTGAGATTACTGGTGAACCCTCAAGCTGAAAACAAAGGTTGCCTCTGTCAGAGTGGCTAGAACTCAGAACGCAGAGTCTGGGACAATCTCCCTGGCTTGGGTTGGAACATCCAACTCCCAGGCTTTAAGAGCTGCATCTGACTCATGTTAGGGAAAACTTCCCATGGTTTCAGTGACAATATCTGCATCAAAGGCTGTGTTGCTAGGTCTCCTCTGGCTTCTCTCCTCACTGCCAAACTAGTACCTATTCAAGCCAGCTGCCCACCATCTTCCTAGAAGATACAAGAAACAAAATGGAGCTGCCGTGGTGTCTCTACCAGGCACTCAGTCCAGTAATCCTGGGCCCTAGAAGCATTTACCAAACATGCTGAGGGCTACATAAATAAATAAGGAGTTAAAGCAATGAATGAATTCCTGGAAGGCCGCAGGTTGAAAGCCATTCATACACTTTACCTCACGTATTTGAATAGTTGCCTTATAAGTTTTAAACATTTCTCTCGTCAAATGCTTAAAAATGGTACTGGCGGGGGAAGCTCAGTGGTCTAGCATGTATAGAGACTATGAATAGAATCCATCTTAAAAGCAGAGGGAAAAAACTCATTCAGCTTGCTGGGTGAGTACTCAACCATTTCAGCCATGCCTCCGAACCTTGTATTTTGCTGATTATTTTGGAGACAGAATCTTATGGACTTTGGTGCCCTATCTGGCTTCAAACTGTTATTCTCTGTCTCTCAGCCTCCTGATTAGCTAGATCACATGCATTGGCTACCTGCACCCAGTTCCCTCCTAGTTTTATTATGTGGTCATACCTAGTTGATCCCTCAGGGTGACATCACCAGATGACTGACAAGAGACAAGCTGTAATTAGCGGGTTTTACAGTGACAGAGGGGGCGAGGGAACACAGCCCAGCACTCTCTGAGTCAGTGACACTCCTGGCAGCTGTCCCTAAGGTGTCAGGGGGAGGTGGGTGGCCAGGAAACAGTCCCAGAGGCCCCCTCCTTGTCAGTCATCACATAGAAACTCCTTATCAGCGGGGAGACCTTGCCCTGACTCACACAGAGGTTGGAATCCCGTTTCTGCCAGCAGCTGTGGCAGAATGCTCCAGGCCCTGTTACAAGTCTGCAGACGTCACCAGGATGTAGCTGTATACCTGTCAGAGCTGCAGGGTGTGTACCATGGCCACTGTTCAAAGCACACTTATCACTTGAAGGCACTGGGCATCAAATCACAGCCCTCACAACCACCCCCAGAGAGGTACTAAGCCTGTTTATTTATTTAGCATTTATTTATTTTTGTACCGGTACTGGGGCTTGAACTCAGTGCCTTGGTGCTGTCACTGAGCTTTTTCACTCAAAGTTGGTGCTCTACCACTTGAGCCATACCTCTACTTCCAGCTTTTTGGTGGTTAACTGGAGATAAGAGTCTCATAGACTTTCCTTCCCCGGCTGGTTTCAAACCACATGTGAGCCACCAACATGTGGACTCTAACCCATTTTAGAGATAGAAGTGCTCATGGACACAGGGCTTAACCAAAAGGTCCCACAGCCATCATGTGCTACCAGCCAAAGATACCCACTCATCCACTCATCAGACATTACTGAGAGCTGAGCACAACTTGATACTCTCTGGGTGACCACAGATGCACCTCTTGTCCTCTAGGATGTAAAGGACAAGAAGTATAAGAAGAAAGTATTAGAAACTATTCCATCAAGGAATCAGACACTGTGACAAAACCACATGTGGGACATGCAGGGAAGAGAAATGAAATAGGAGAGAGGCGCCGTGCACACAGATGCTGGCAGGCAGCACAGAAGGCACTAGTATCTGCATGGCAGCCTAAGCCAGCCACCAAGCCCTGTTCCCATTTCGCAACTCAGGTTTCACTGGCTTGCAGCACCTTTCCTTGCTTTCCCAGGCAAAATGAAATGCCCTGTCATCCACCCCCTATAGTTCATTGAATGTGAGGGTGTAGGATGGGCCTGGGATTCATGTAGCTGATTCTGGACTCCACTGGGCTGTCTAGTTTTTTCCTACATTCATGGCCGCAGGGTACGGTACAGTGAATGGCATGGAACAAGCAAATGTCAACTAGCTTTTCGTGAATGCCTGCTCTGTGCTCAGGGTCTATGAGTATCATCTCACTGAAGCCTGTGAGAAGGTTCTATCGTTAGCTTTTCTTTATTTAGAGGAAAAATCTGAGGCTCGGATGGGTTAAATATTGAGGTCCAGATACTGCCAAAATCCAAACCAGTTGTGTATGTCTGAACACAAAAGCTATGTTCTAGCCACTCAGCCACCTGTTCCTGTATGGAACAATGGAATTAGATGCAAAAAAGGGTCTAACATTGCATTCAGCATCCATGGAAGAGTAACATTTTTAGGCCAAAAAATAACTTTGCAAATGACTTGAAATCTTGCTTATCCATTGATTTGTGGATTAAATATTTCTCAAGCTTCTACTTGTACACAGGAGTCAAGCTAGGGAAAATACAATCTGACTCCTTTCTTTAAGGAGTAATAAATCATAAGATAACTTCCATACACATGAAAGAAGAATTTCAATGCAAGAGTTAGGTAATAAGAACCTATCATAAATCCACAGGTCCAAACAAGGTGTAATGGTATACATCTTTAATTCCAGAACACAGGTATATGAAGCAGGAGAATCACAAGTTTAAGGCAAGCCTGGGCTGTAGAGCAAGACCTATCCCTCAAAATGAACAGAGTTAGCACATTAAAATGTAGGGTATGACAACAGAAAGAAGGACTAATAACTTCTAAATTTGTCCTTTGAACGGTAAGGATTTATTTGTTGAACATTTTGGTTAAGCATGGGTTGGGGGATTGGGGGCAGGGAGGACTTGAGAGGATTGCACAGGTAGAAGTCTAGTAAGCGCAGAGTCTCCAAGTACCTGAATGGAAGTTGGAAGATGATGGAACTTGTCCAGAAAATTAACCTGGATCTTTATAAGAAGAGGCAAAGGAATTCTGGGCATTTGTGACTCATGCCTAGCTATTCCGGAAGCTGAAATCTGAGGATCATGGTTTGAAGCCAGCTCAGGCTTAAAAGTCTGTGAAAATCTTACCTCCAATTAAACAGCATAAAAGCCTGAGCTATGGCTCAAATGGTAGAGTACTGGCCTTGAGCGAAAGAGCTAAGGGATGGTGCTCAGTCCCCAAGTTCAAGCCATGGGATTGGCACCAGAAAAAGAGAGGATGCAAAGGAGACTAAGACTCAGGTGGTTAGGACTCAAATGCTAATGACAGAAAAAGGTCCCTTTAAGGCAGATTTGAATCAAGGAGATGAATAAAAAAGGAACTGAGCATGTGTAGTGTTAGCAGATGGCCCAGGGAAAGCTGACTGCCAGTTTCATATTTGACTCATGTTCCTCATGGAGAAAGGACTTCCATTTGGTCTGGTTAGAATACCTCAAAGAGAGACACTGAGCTCAAGATAGGGAAAGAGCACTTGACAACTTAAATTTAGTTCAAGTTACCACCAGATCAAGAGAAATAACTGTCCAGGGTACCAATATGGTCTTAGAAATGTAGTCTGTGGGGGCTGGGAAGATGGCTCAGTGGTAGAACACTTGCCTTGCATGCATGAGGCCCTGGGTTCAATTCCCCAGCACCACATAAGCAAAAAGAAAAAAGCCGGAAGTGGCTCTGTGGCTCAAGTGGTATAGCGCTAGCCTTGAGCTGAAGAGCTGAGGGACAGTGCCCAGGCCCAGAGTTCAGGCCCCACGACCGGACCAAAAAAAAAAAATGTAGTCTGCAATCTCTGAGAAATTATCCTAGCAAACTTTCATGAGAGGATCCCATTTCAAATTGAGATCAAGGGGTCCCAACACATAAAGCCGGGTGAATTCTAAGAGCTGGTATGGATTTAACCAAAAATAATTACACTGAAGGAATATGGATTCCTGTTACTAACACTAATAGATCTGGACTGTTGGGATATTGTATGCAGATCCTTGACGATAATAGGCTTTGGAAAAACAAATTATATGATCTGTTCGTGAACAAGATAAAGAAATCTAGACTGCTAAATGTCACCACTTGGTAGGTTCATAGAAGGTTCAACAATGACTCAGTTGTATTTAATCTGACAGTACCAGGGTAAAAGCTATACTCTAATAATTCCTGTTCTGCATCCTTGCAATTAAAAAAAAAAAAAAGAATTTAGATGGACAATAGTCTTGACCTCTCATGATTTTTTTTTTTTTTTTTTTTTTGGGTCCGGTCGTGGGCCTGAACTCTGGGCCTGGGCGCTGTCCCTCAGCTCTTCAGCTCAAGGCTAGCGCTCTACCACTTGAGCCACAATGCCACTTCCGG